TTCCAAGCTCCTGATCTGAAGGGGATGCTGCAGGTGTCTCAAGGTGAGAAGAGCTAGGTTAAGTGTGTGATTCTAGTGGTGGCAGGTGATAGATGGGGAAGAAGGTGTGGTTTCTAGGTATGGGTAGAGGAGACAAGGGAGAGTAGACTCTGTGTGCTCACGATGTGATCATATTTAATGGGGAGTGGCCATTCATCCTCAGCCAGTTTACTGCCCTATGATATCCCTCCTCCTTTTCCTAATCTGGAAAGGGAATGGATTTCAGTGCTGACACTTTTGCTTATATTTCACACTGTGAATTTTTATCATTTCAGAGCTGACAGATGTTCAACGCTACTGGGGTAAGCAGAAATTACTGTGTCATAAGCCACAGTCTTCTCAACGTCTTTCAGAATTGATTTCTCCGGTAGTTCTCATGTTTAAGGTCCATTTTGCTCCTTCCAACAGTCACTCACATACCTTGTTTCTGCAGTGTTCTATCTCTATGACTTCTGATCAGAGTTTTTCCCACTTTTTAAGTTCTTCTCAGGATTCCTTTTATAACATCACAAATAAAGCTAAATCGTATCTTTGATGTGACTCTAATTTTTCTACAGTTCACCTGACACTGTCTCCAAGCAACAATCCAAATATTGTCATTTCTAAGGACCAGAGACAATTAAGATATGTAACCCAATACTCGCGCAAGCGTGGGAATTATCATGAAGGTGTTTTGGGCTACCCACCTATCACATCAGGAAAACATTACTGGATGGTAGATGTGTCCAAGAAAAGTGCCTGGTCTCTGGGGTTGTGTGATAGAAAATATTTCGAATCTGCATCTGTCCCTGGACAAAGTAAAAACTATCAACCTAAATGTGGCTACTGGGTTATAGGTCTTCACAGATTTCTCTATTATGCTTTTTGTAAGAATGATGCCCATTATCCTTTGAACTTGGTCCTCTCTCTGACTGTTCCTCCACAACATATTGGGGTTTTCTTAGATTATGAGACTCGTGAACTTTCATTTTACAATGTTACAAACCATGGGTTTCTCATCTATAAATTCTCCAAATGTTTCTTTCCTAAAGAAGTTTTTCCTTACTTCAATCCTGAGACATGTCCAGAGCCCATGACACTACACTGGCCAAGCTCTTGAAATTTCTTATACCCTCACCCAGTCTGTGCAGTACCTCTGGCCCTTTTGTGCATCCCATGCCCCTGAGCTCATCTGCACCATTTTAACCACCTTTACTTGCTGTCTTCAGCCTTTCTGTTAGGAAGTCTTTCACTCATAAGTATACATAAGGATATATAAATCCTCACATGAGGATTTATCCCAATATCTTGTTTATCTCTCCTAGGGAATCTTAATTCATCATCTTTCATGCTTCCAAGGAAAAAAGACCAATTCCTCATTAAATAATCTCATTATTGAGGTAACACCTCTGCCAGATCTTTAAAACTCTATTCTTTTTTTTTGCCACTGACAGAATGTTTAGGAGAGTTTTCTACCACCTTTTATATTATTGAGGGCTATGCATAGGAGTACCTCTATAGAATGACCACTTAACATTATGACAGTTTACCCATGATGCTTCTTATTCATCAAGGAGTTAAGAAGATGTGTCCTAAGTGGTATATACTAAGAATAGGTGTTTTTTTTTTGTACGGAGTATCTAAGTTCAGATTCTGTCCCTTTACTGATTAGCTGTGTAACTTTGAATAACAATAAAAATATGGGTGTGCTTATTTTTTTTGTAATGATTTTTTTGTAGTGATTAAAAAATTGTACCTGATACTTTGGATCAGTGTGAGAAAATAAATGAAGTACAAAGTATCTTTTGAAGTGTCCCAGTGAGTATTTGTTCTGTTAAATACCAGAAAGTATCAGTGGTATCACTACTCCATGAAACAGGTTGTGTGAAGGGGAGCTAGGATTGACTTTTTACTGGAGTCTCATTTTTATGTTTCAGATAATACTACCAAGTCCACTTATGTGCCAAGTATATATTATGCATCTTACTTTTTAACAATTACAGGTGGGTTTTGTTTGTTTATTTTGTTTTTTCTAATCCTGTTGTTTCCACAAGTTGGTCCCTATCAAATAAAGGAAACTAAATTTTAAGGGATTTAGATTACAATTTAAAGTAAATAGATAAATAATCCTTATGAAACTCACCTCATGTAATATTGTGAGAATTAACCAACAGGATATTTTTAGTAACTTATGTTGTTTTTGATAAGAAGTAATCCATGGGTTGGAAGTAGCTCAGTGATAGAGTCTTGCCTATCATGTGCAAATACCTGGAATTGAGTCCTTAGCACCAAAAACAATAAAAAATAAAAATAAATAAAAAGTTAAAAAAGTAATGCTGTAGCCTGATGTCCACTCTTTTTAAGATCATTCACACAATGATAAAGAAATGATTTTTAAGAATATGTATTGTGGGGCTGGAGTATTGGTCAGTGGTAGAGCACTCGTTTAGCACATGCGAGGCCCTGGGTTTGATCCTCAGCACCACATAAAAATAAATAAAGGTATTGTGTCCAAGTACAACTAAAATAAAATATTTTTTTTAAAAAGAATATTATTGGATTCATATTTGATGACAAAATATAAAATTTTTATGATAAAAAAAGTTAAAAGAATTTACACTGAGAAAGCCTGCACTACAGAGTATCCTCAGCAAAATATTCCAGGAGGAGGAAATGAAAAACAACAATGAAAATTAGCAAAGGGAGGAACTATACTACAGGAAAAGCTAATCAAAGAAGAATCCAAGTCAAGTTCAAAACCAAAAACAAACCAAAATGTCCAGAATACAAATCATATTTCAATAATAACCCTGAATGTGAATGGCATAAACTTATCAATTAAAAGACATAGACTGACAGAATAGATCAAAAAACAAGACCCAACAATATGTTTCCTTGAAGAGATTCATCTCACAGGAAAAGACATCCAAAGACTGAAGGTGAAAGTGTGGGAAAAAAACAGACCACTCACATGGACTTCATAAACAAGCAGGGGTTTTCATCCTTATATCAGATAAAGTGAATTTCAAACCAAAGTTAATGAAAAGGGATAAAGAAGGACATTTCACACTGCTTCAGTGATTCATACTTCAACAAGATATAACAGTCATAAACATCTATGCCCCAACCAATGGGGCATCTATATATGTCAAACAAACCCTTCTCAAATACAAAATCCAAATAGATCACAACACAAATATACTGGGTAACTTTAATACACCTCACATCTCTTACCACTGGATAGATCTTCCAAAATAAAGCTAATCAAAGAAACTATATAACTCAGTAATAAAATCAATAATTTGGACTTAACAGACATATACAGAATATTTCATATATAAATGAACGAATACACTTTCTTCTCAGAAGCACATGGATCCTTCTCCAAAATGGACCATATGTTATGCCACAAATCAAGTCTTAGCAAATACAAAAAAAAATAGAGATACTAACATGCATTCCATCTCACCATAATGAAATGAAATTAGAAATCAATGATAAAATTTAAAAAAGAAGCTACTCCAACATCTGGAGACTAAACAATATGCTACTGAATAATGCATGGATAACAGGAGACATCAGGGAGGAGATAAAAAATTCTTGGAGGTAAATGATAACTCCAATAAAACTTACAAAATCTCTGGTACACTATGAAGTCCTAAGAGGAAAGTTCATTGCATGGAGTCCATTAATTAAAGGAAGAAAAAGTCAGCAAATAAATGACTTGACATTACAGCTCAAAGCCCTAGAAAAAGAAGAACAAACCAACACTAAAAGTAGTCAAAGACAGGAAATAATTAAAATCAAGGAACAAATCAATGAAATTGAAACTAAAAAAAAAATTTAAAAAAATGACAAAACAAAAAGCTGGTTCTTTGAAAAACATAAATAAAATTGACACTTAGGAACTCTAACAAAAAGAAAGAGGGAGAAAACTCAAATTACTAAAATTTGTGATGAAAAAGGAAATATCACAGCAGACACTATTGAAATACAGAAAACAATCAGAAACTATCTTGAAAATTTATACTCCAATAAAAATAGAAAACCTTGAAGACACCGACAAATTTCTAGAGACATATGATCTACTCAACTGAATCAAGAGGGCATACAATTAAACAGATCAATTTCAAGCAAGGAAATAGAAGATACAATCAAAAGTCTACCAACCAAGAAAACCAAGAAAAGCCCGGGAGCAGACGAATTCACAGCTGAGGTTTACAAGACCTATAAAGAAGAATTACTACCAATACTCCTCAAATTATTCCATGAAATAGAAAAGGAAGGAACCCTTCCAAACCCATTCTACAAAGCTAGTATCATTCTGATACCAAAACCAGGCAGAGACACATCAAGGAAAGAAAATTTCAGACCAATAACCCTGATGAGCATTGATGAAAAAATTCTGAATAAAATTCTGGCAAGTTGCATACAAAAAATATTAAAAAGATAGTGCCCCATGATCAAGTGAGGTTCATTCCATGGATGCAAGGTTGGTTCAACATATAGAAATCAATAATATAATTCATCACATCAATAGACTTAAAGATAATAATTATGTGATTATGTCAATTGGTGCAGAGAAAGTATTTGACAAACTACAGCACCTTTTCCTTTTCAAAACACTAGAAAAACTACTGATAGTAGAAATATACTTCAACCTTGTAAAAGCTATCTATGCTAAACCCAAGGCAAACATCATTCTAAATGGTGAAAAATTGGAAGCATTCTCTCTAAGAACTGGAACAAGAACAGGGATGCCCTTTTTCACCACTTCTATTTGACATAGTCCTTGAAACTATAGCCAGAGCAATTCGGAAAAAAAAAGAAATTAAAGGGATACAAATAGGAAAAGAAGAGGGGGCAAGCAGAAAAAATCAAAGTGATAGAGTGCCAGGGATCCCAGCAGCCTGCAGCAGGGCCCCGGAGATCCAGGCCAACTGATTCGAGTGGCCTGCCCTGC